TGTCAAACTTTCTAATTTATTAGGTTAAAATTATGAATATACATATATGTTCCCAATAAACGTATTCAGATATAATATTATTAGCCATTTTCAATAATTTATGAAATTACTACGTCGATAGTAATATAGCTATTACTTATAAGCTTTCAATATTTTTACTAAAATCGTCATTTATGAAAAATATATAATCATATAATTTTTATGAATAATTCATTTAAATAGATTTAATTAATTCACAAGCCTTACAACGCATTTATTTATTTTTTTGTTATAATTAACATAGATTGTTATATTTTTAAATCTTATTATATAAAATTTTTAGATGCTGTGGAAAGTAATATATTGTTTAATTATAAATTAAATTGATACTAAAATTGTATAACTAATTTTTATTACTTATTGAGTATTAATAATTGTATTTTTTAAAGTACTGATGAAGTATTCAGTTAAATAAAAATAAAAATAAAATCGATAATTAAACACACAATATATTTATTAAATAGCTTATTAAAAAGCAATAGATAATTAATTGGTTTATTATTTTTATTATTTAAGAGAACCAATATCTCTGGTATATTTTTCACAAATATTTTAGGAAGTCTAATAAATTTATTTTCAAATTCACAGAAACAAAATATAATTTTATTAATTTTATCTTATTCTTGATTTAAATTTGAATTTAAGAGAATAATCATTGAGTTTTTTATCATAATAGTATGCTTTATGGTTTTTTGCACACAAATCGCACTTGACAAGCGCATGCAGAAATTGTATACATAAGTTAAACTAGTTTGAATTTTCAACGGAGTGATTGATGCATATTATGAATTATTTCTTATATTATATATATATATATATATGTTTTGTAGTTATCTTATCGAAGTAAAAATAATTAATTTCAAAGAATTTCGTTTTTTATCATTATATTTTTACAAAAACAAATACATCATTTTATAATGTAGATATATATTATACTTATAAGTGTTTAAGTATAATGCATTTTTAAGATCACATTAAATAAAACTATAAAATTAAATAGTATGAATTTTTATAAAACAGTAGCATTTTTGACAACATAAAAATTACAACAACTTACAAAAAATGTTAATTTTTTAATAAATATTATTTTGAAAATGTACACTAAAATCAATAGTTATGACTTATGACATTACATTAAATAATTTATGTAGAATAGCTAATATACTTGACGTATAGAATTTAAAAATTATTTATTTTTAATGTTTAATGTTTTAATCAAATTCTACTAAAGTCTTATCATAAAATAAATTCCTGACGAATAATGTTTCTTATCTAATTTTTATTCGATTCAGTTAGTGTAAACTTTTGAATAAATCTATTTTTATAACATTATATATTTATATAATGCAAATAATGCAATTTAATGGAATAATATTATTGCATTTATGTTATTTTTGTATATCTTAAAATTATGAAAAAAAATTCTATGTTAATTTTAAAAATATCAAATTAACGTGTTATGTAAAAATATAGTTTTACATAAAATGGACTTAAATAATAATTTTGTAGAATAAATTTCGTTTCTTTATAATTTAAATTGGTCTAAGATGACTAAAACAAGTTGATAGAGCTTTAATGATAAAAATATTTGTTGACCGTAATCAAACAAATCAAGATTAAATAATCACTCGTAAGAAATCATGATTTTGGTTATAATTTAAAGTATAAAAATGTCTCCGTTTAATAATTATTCATTATAAGAAATTGAATATATATATATATTTATTTTTTTTTTTAATAAAAGTTAATTATTTAATTTAGTATTTTGCTATCTTGCTATTTTACTTAAAATTATTTTATTTTATATTAGTTTTCCTATTACATACTTACATTTAATTGTCACACATTATACATTGTATCACTAATGTACCAATAATATTTGTAACATTTTGTATAGTGTAAAATGAATATATTAATTAACTAAATGTACTTAGTAAGATCTTATATTAAACAGATTCACAAGAACTATGTTTAAGCTCTAAAAATGAATTTGTTCCATTTTAAAAATAATATTAGTTTGAATATTAAAAACTTCAATTATTATCAATCAAATATAATAAATAAAAGAAAAAGTTTCAAAATTTAAATCACTAATTATTAAATTACAATATATTTTAATTTTAAGAATTATTCTTTTAATGTGGGTATATACGTTAGTAATTTGAGATACCTATTATTTTTATTTGAAAGGACATAGATTTTTTATATTTGTATCAAGCTTTAGATAGATTAATACTCAATTAAATTTAATCTTTTTAATATTGGTTCCTCCATAATACACAGTAAATTAATTTTCTAATTTTAATCTGTGCTTTTAAAATTGTTGGTATATTGTATAATATACCATGTATGTTGTGACGATTTTTTTTCTTTAAAAAGCTTCAGCATACACCATATTTTTTTATTTTTATATAAAACTCTCGTCAAAATTAATTCTATGAATTTTTATACCCAATATTTATGCAATATTTTGCATATTAATATAATCAATTATGTTAATATTTATCCCATAATTTCTAAATATTTTTTAATAATGAAGTTAAAATAATATATAATAATATTATTATAGTTTACTTATTATTTATAAGTATAATATTTTTATTCTATGAACCATAACTCAAAATCAGAAGTCTTTGATGATTTTATTTTAGCATTCATAAAAGCATACCAAACATTACTACGAAAATTCTACATTGATTTGTAATTTGTAATTATTTTTTAAACTATTGAACAATTCCAATAATGGCCAATTTCAAAGTACCATCTCTAAAATTGTATTTAAAAAAATGCTACTACTTAAAAATTTTTATTGCATATTAAAAAAAAAAATAATTAATCAAAGTAACAAACTTATATAAATATATATATATCTATATATAACTCTGTACCTACTCAAATAATTTAATTAAGTATATTATATTCTACCAATTTCCTAAATATATGATACAAAATAATTTATAATCAAAGTGTATTAAACTAATTAAGTACATACTATTATCTGGTAATAATATTGTCATTATAATTGTTTTATTAGCTAATTTTAAATAATTATTAGTACCAGTATTTAGTATAAAAAACTATGACGTGATAATGTGTTATCGTAATTAATGACAAAACAATCAGTTGCTAATTATATTTGAATTGATATAGTTTTAATGGTTTAATGAACATATTATGCATTATATTATATTATTTTTTATCAGTCATTATAAGATGATATTATTCTTAAGTGAACCAATTTATTTGTCATTTTTGATTATAGAACTTCACCAAGTAGAAACGATATAATTTTACCATGTGAATTACGCAAATGTAAGTTTAATGCGTATAGTGTCTTATGATGTTATCTGCAAATGAAACAACACTTAAGCTGTTTAATTAGGTAAATTTGTTATTATATTATTTTGTATTATTATACATTGTAGCCACATTCAGAAATATATTGTATGTGCTCAAATATAATGTTTACAAATTATTTTAATTAATATAGTCATTTTTTTAGCCTTTAGTTATATATAACTACTCAATTCTTATAATAAACAATTATTTAGTTTTATTAATTAATACTATATTAATTTTTTGTGATTTCAATAATATTAAGTTATTTATAATATAAAATTATGACTGTGCACAAATTAAAATAATAAAACTACTTAAATATTATAAATGACAATAAGTAGAGTTATATATTATTGAGTAGATTATCGGTAGTAATAAATGTTTTTATTTGAACGAGGTGGAAGTAGACTGTTAATATTATATATTAGTAGTTCAAGACAATTTTATACTATAATTTTATATTGAACAATTATTTTATTATATTAAATATTATTTATTTTTATTTTAAGTCCATTCAATCCTAAACTATTGTTATTATAATTATCACAAATTACTATTATTTTAACCTTTAAAATTTTTTGATTATTTATTCATACGTTTTTCGTATAATAGGATGCTTATTTGTATGCTAAAGAACATTTTTAACACCAACACAAGTGTATTTTTGGATTCAATAAAGATCTAATTAATGCTGCGTATATTAATACAATAATATAAATGTTTAACCACAATAATAAACAAAATAGTATAAAATTTATATGACTATCTCATAAAAGTAGATAAACTCATATCCTTGTATGTAATTTTCTACATAATTATTTAAGTTATAAAATAAGTAAAATATTTAATTGTATTATTATTGGGTTAGTAAAATGGCCATTGAAAAAACTAAACCTTTGTTATAACGGTTGATTAAGATCTACTGATCATATTACTGAATGCATTTCTGAGAGAGAATTTCCCTTAAAATTTAAATAAATTTGTAAATCTAAAAATCAAAAAATCAAAAAATCATAAATTGTATTTATTTTTAAATTTAATAAAAACACACTTAGCCAATTTTTTTAACACATCTAGTATTATAAATATATAGCTAATCAAATAGTATTTCAAGCGAATAACAAACAATTACTTTCATTGATATATGTTATAATTTCCAAACAGTGTTCTTTTTTTTACACATTGATCAATTATTATTTATGTACTTGATTAAATTTGAGATCATGTTGATCACAGTAAATATTTATAATTAATAGATTAGTAAGCCAATTACTTGAATGTAATTGTACTTCTTATTATTATTTTTTTTTTTTTTAATATATTTAAAAAAAAATGCATAACTAATAGGCAAAAAATTATATAATTTAAAAAATATGATAAAAATTACCGTGAAATTACGAAAATTATTATTATTGTTATTATTAAGCAATATATTATATTATAACAATATATAAATTTACCTAAAAACTTCTTTTAATATTGATTTATAACCAGTATGTGAAGTGAGTGATCTCCACCATTATTGAATTATCCCAATAAAAACGGTATAACTTTTAATAATTAATTAATTAAATGTTAAGTGAACGCATGCACATGCATTTCTTGCATTAAACTATGCTTACCGTTCGCTCTCCCAAATTTCTAACACGACAATGAAGGTAAGCTGTGCTACCTAACGGGACGGTGAGGTTAGTTTCAGTGGTATTGTCCAAAAGTGGCTCCGTGAGCTTTTGAAACTCATCGACGCTTGAATACCATAATTGTTGCCATTCTGAGTGACCAGTTCCTCCTGGTTGTCCATTTTTACTTTTTGGACTGGATATTTCTCGCTTTTCTATATAAAAAAAAAAATATATTTTCATTAATACATAAATATATTAAATTTAAAAATAACCTAAGATATTAAATTTGACAAAATCTAGATTATAAAAAACTTCTTCTTGTTTGATAAATATTAAAATATCAGTCTAAGATGTATGCTATACATTAATATACCTTTTTTTGATAAGATTTTCATCTAATGATATATCTTTAAAATCATGATTATTATTTTTTGTTCATCGTATCATATTATTAAATGGTAAAGGTTTGATAGCTATAGTAAATAATAATAATAATAATAAGATTTAAATTTAGAAAGAAAATTATTTGGCTAAAAATATTTTTATGTATAATATCATTGTAATAATGGGCTTAATTATTAATGTTTAATATTTTGATATGATTTAACATGGGATCTCTAATAACACTAGTATACGAGCTTTTTTTATGTATGTAACTATTCAACCTGTTAAATATTTAACTATAAAACTTATAGAAGCATGTTCATGAATGTTCTTTTGTAATAATTAAATATTCAAATTAAATGATTAATGAATAATTAATATAATATTAATCAATAACATATTTTAAATTATAAAGTACTGTTTAAACCAAATAAGAATGCTATTGTTTATTTCTATAACATTATATTTTTACATAAAAAAAAAATCGAAGTTTAAGTGTATTGTATTTTAAAACATAAAAATATTGTCTAATTTTTTTATTCCGATTTATAAATTATAAACGAAGTAATTGAATTTAAAGCATCCACCGTTAATTGTCTCACTATACTTTCTTTGTTTAAATGGAATTCAATCAAACAACGTCAAAACCAATTTCATTTTAGAAGACATTTTCAGCTCAGTTTGAATGGGGATGGAAAAGAAATAAAAAAAATCTTACTTCATTACGAAAATACGCGTAGGCTCAATCGATTCATTTTCCCGGAATTAACTTTTGTTTGGATTAGAAATATCGTCATAAATTAATATATCATTGAGTTTCTTTGTTATATTGTTTCATCGTATAATGTATTAATTGGCATCCTGAATTAACATAAGTGTTATCAATTAATCTATGGAAAAATGTCCGAGCAGTACCATTCAAGTTTTTATGAGAATCGAAGTAAGTGAAAAGAAGTAAGAGTTTTCCAAATAGTAATTTATAATAATGAAAAAAAATATATGAATATAGTATTTCAAAATATTTTTAGTGTAAAGTTAAGAGAGTTTTACAAATCATTATTCCATTAAAATTTAGAAACTAAGAAAATAACCTCAAATGCAATATTTTATCATACACTTAGAATGTCGTTATTTGTAAGTAATTAATCTAAATCTATGTTATACAATTATAAAAACAATTAAATTGATATCAATGATAATTTTAGACGAGTATTTAAAAAAAATAAGAATTACATTGATTATTTTGGCGTATTAGAAATTTCGGGACAACTATATATTATTATTATTTAGCATTGCGATTGCTGTGATATATTGTTAAAAATAAAAGTGCATATAACATTATTTTATAGCATATGATGACGATTATTATCAAACTGATCACTTGTATATTAGGTGTAATATTATACTACATATTTCAATAAAAAAATAATAATATCTTTCATAATAATATGATTGAGAAACATAAATATAGATTTTATTGAACCATATTAACTATGAGGTTAAATATTTTATTATTTTCTTCTACAGTAGTTTATTTAACAAAAAGATGATAAAAAAATATATTAAAATAAGTCTAACTATATAATTGAAAATACATTGAATTGGATGTTGGTATCTAAATTTGTTATCAATATATAACGTAATGATAAAAAATAACTATTTAGGTTTTATAGTAAAATAATTAAGTATGGTTTTAAATAAAATGTGCCATTATGTGGTTGAAATTTTTCTCCCTAATTATTTATTTATATTTTAAAATATAATTCACACCGAGCGTGATATTTTGTATTCTTGTATTAATTTAATACGCAATAATATGCAACAAAAATTTAATGTTATTTTTTAATTGTAATTGTTGACGTTCTTATTAGCATAATTCAATGAAATAAATTATTATAATACTCTAAAATTTAGTTTTTAATAATAAGATGTTTATCATAAATTATTGTTTAATGCTTACACGTTAATCTATAATTATTGTACATAATTATTAGTTACGATAAAGTTTGAAGTTTTTGTTTATTTAATATAACCTGTAAACATTGTATATCTTAGTTATAAAAGTATACGATATCACATGCGTAAATCATTGTGAAAAACGTACATAGTAAATCAGTCAAATTGTTGTTATAAATAGTGTTTAAGTTGAATTTTGTAATTTAATTGGCCACCCGTGTGTGCTTTATATTTTCTATGTTTATCATGTAAATATTCATTAATGGATTTTTAGATATATTGGTTTTGTAATTGGATAAAAAGTAATAACCGATACGCATATTATCTAAATATTAAATATAAGCGTCATACACTAAATATCGTGATGGAAAAGATTGAATTTACATGATACACTTTTCGTAATAAATATTATGTATTTTCTTTAAAATGTTTAAATTATTTAAGAGTTTAGAAAATGTATAAACTATTAAATGTAAAATGTACCTTAAATAATGCATAGTAGACACATAGAAATAAAGTGATTTAGCTGCAGTATAATAAAAAATAAAAAATCATAATATATTGCTTGCCCATAAATCTACAAAAATAGTTTAACATACAAGCAGCTCTTTTCAAGTTATTTATAGCAGGTTGGCAGGAAATATTGCAGTCATGTCACTCTAAACTTGCTATAACTTTAATGTAATAATATATGATATTTCTTTTTATGAATCACTGTAATGTCTATAATCGTCACTAGAATGATTTTTACTGAAATGACAGCATGTAACCATTAAGCTTGCAAAAAATAATAGAAAAATTGTTTTAATAATAAATATATTTTTATAATATACCTAATTCTTCTATGTTTATTTTCAAATAACTTTTGACACTTATATACATATCTCTGTATGTATATATTATATTAATGCATTATGTATTATGTAATAGGTACTTAAATTAAATAAGATTATAAAATAATAATGTATAAGTAATATTTAATAATGTTAGTTCTACTATAAATTTATTGAAATATATCCTATTTACAGGCAAGTTATGCATTTGAAATGTTGTAAATTATAACAAAAATGTCGAAATTGCAATATACATAATATAGGTATCATATACATGTTTTTATGTATATTGTATTGAAAGTCAATATTATAAAATACAAAAAATTAAAAATCGAATGATATCGTATGTCAATTTTATAGCATAGTTAACACAATAACATATTACTGTAACTGTTAGTTATTAAATTAACACTATTAAATTGATAAATTAATATTATTGGCCATTTGTTAGTACCAAAATTCCCTACACATAGAATGTCATTAACATTGATATATTTATATATATTTAATCTTATGATATAATATAATGTATATTTTATTTTTAACAGAAATTATTTATTTTTTTATTTATATTACATTACTAATTATGTATATTTTTTTATGTATCCTAATTTATACTTTTTTTTTAAATTTTTTAAGCCTGTATTGAAATCACACTTTAAAGAAAAATAATAATCTCTAAAACTAAAGGAAATATAATTCAAAATCAAACTATACTTAAGAAAACTCACATCAATAAGTTAAAGGTGTAAAATAAATTACTTCGATTGGAAAGGATAAATGTTTTTTAAACTATGCTCAAAGGTATTTGTACTAAGTAATATAATACACAATATATTGAATATTTCTATTACTTTCACACAAAAATATTCTTGCATAATATTATGTTTCAAGCTAGTAGCAACCTTATCACTAAAGACCGGATTCCCGTGCAATTGCATCTTTTTATGGCGTGTTCTAAATTCAATAGAAACAAGCTACAAATCCAAACCAAGAGATGTAGATTAATTTAAGCAAGTTTTATGTTGCACAAAATTGCACGTTACAGGTTTTTTTTTACAAAAATGTACTTTTGTATAAATATTTTTGTATTATTTTTATTATATTATGTTGTTTTACAAAGTATTGGACTTTTATATCTAACAATATAATTATATATAAATATATATATATATATAACGATATAATACGAATTAAATTCAATTTTAAATTATCAAATAAATGTAGTTGAAACAGTAAGAGATGGGCTTAAGACAATTGAAAATGAAGAGGTGCAAAAACTATATGAAAAATTCAAATCAGTATTTGATAAAAATCCCGGATACAAAATTTTAAAACTGTACAACAATTCAATAAATGGAAATTATGTGAATTTAAAAGAAGATCCTGCTATTATAAGCTGCTACAAACAATGCCCAAAACATATATTAAGTGACAGAAGACATAATTTTAAAGAAAAAAACTTGGAAATGTACATGATTATAAATTTTAATCAAATATTGTAAAGTAAGTTATATACATATTGTCAGTTTATTATTATTTTAATTGAATATTGTAAAGTCAGTTATTAGTTATTACTTATTAAAATTAATATTTGAAGTATCTATAATGAAAATTATGTTTTTGCACGGTTTTGCACATTTTAACATTTTAATTGCACATTTTTTTAGATTTTAGCTGCACAAAAATCCGGTCTTTACTTATCACATTAATAAATATGAAACAAACTAATAACAATATACAATATTATAATTGACCATTATTATGTTTATAACATTTTTTTAGTTTAAAGTGTATATGCAAATTTCATGTTTAAGGTTTAACAACAAAAATATTACATGAAAATCAAATTTGATTTTACTCTATTGACATTAAGTATATTAATTGATCGTTGATGTATATCTATGTACATATATTATATTAAATCAAAATCTATTATATAATACACTTATTAACAATATTTAAAAAATCATTAAAATAAAGAACTTCACTAATAAGCATTTGTAGCTAGTATAAATAACAAATATTTAATGGTTAAT